GTTTTTGCTCGAATTCAGGGTTTTCGAAGGCACAAAATGGTCAAAAATCGCACAAATTGGCCATTTTGTGGTTTTCCAGGGCCGCGAAACTACGGAAATCCCTACATTTTGGCCTTAATTCAGGGATTGTGAACGCCCAAAACGGTCAAAAATCACCAAAATTTGTAGGAAAATCCCTATGTTTTCGCCTTACTTCAGGGTTTTTGAAAACTAAAAATTGTCAAAAATCGCGGAAATTTGCTATTTTGGTGGTTTTCCAAGGATGCCAACCTAAGCAAAATCCCGCAAAATCCCGCAAAATCCCTAGGTTTTGGCTTTCATTTTTCTGAAAAAAGACATTTTCTGAAAAAATCGTTTTCTGAAAAAAACCTTGCTCTGAAAAAACACAAAATCCTTTTCTGGAAAAAAACACATCATTTTCTGAAAAAAAATTCTGAAAAAACAATTTCTGAAAAAATGATTTCTGAAAAAAAATAATTTCTGAAAAAAAAATAATTTCTGAAAAAAATAATCTCTGAAAAAAATAATTTCTGAAAAAAAACCTTTTCTGAAAAAACTTTTCTGAAAAACATATTTTCTAAAAAAGAAAATTCTGAGAAAAAAGGCAGCGTTTTCAGGCTTTTTCAAAGCCCTCGAAAAGAGTTGGCGGCCTTTTGGGGTTTTCGAAACCACTGAAAGGACACTATTCGGAATTGTTGACCTGAAAACGCTTGCTTTTTCAGCATTTTCTAAGCCCTCGAGAAGACTAGGACAAAATCACAAAAAATTGCCATTTGGTGGGTTTCCAAGGCCGCCAAACTAGGGAAATTGTATGTCTTGGCCTTAATTTGGCTTTTGTTTGGCAGCACAATTGTGCTTGATGAGACTATACAATTTCTATTTATCAGGTCTTGAGGGTTTAGGGTTTAGGGTTTAGGGTTTAGGGTTTAGGGTTTAGTTAGGATGTAGGGTTTAGGGTTTGGGCTTTAGGGTTTAGGGTGGGCATACATGCCACTGTGACAGAAAGAAAAAACTTTTCCACTGCCAGCAAGCGTCCAGGAGCTCGACAGCCTCGGCCAAACCAGACGCTCTGCGCGTCTATGCTATACAGTTCTCCGTAACCGGTCATACAAGCACACCCTGAACCCTAAACCCTAAACACGAAACCCTAAACCCTAAACGCCGGCTTGCCGGGGTGAGAAGCCTGAACAACAAGTGCGGCAGCACGCAAACCCTAAACCACCACGGTGATGCGCCCAGGAGCTTTGCTGATGTCCTGCAAAGGCAGGGGGGCGGGGGGGGGGGTGGGAGGGGTCGAAACCCTAAACCCTAAAACCTAAACCCTAAACCCCAAACCCCTGAAGCCTAAACATGCCACAAGCGACCTGATGATTTCATGCCCGGGCTTAGGGGTTTTGGGGGTTTTGGGTTCCCCGTTTTCCGGGGAGGAGCCTCTACAAGGGGGACTGGATCCCTAAACCCTAAACCCTAAACCCGAAACCCTAAACCCTAAACCCTAAACCCTAAGCTGAGGTTTTGGGGAGTTGAGGAAGTTGGGTCTCTATGAGCTCACCTTCATCTTGCGTCTCAGCTAGAGCTCGCAGTCCCCGGCTTTTGGGGCCCTAAACCCTAAACACTAAACCCTAAACCCTAAACCCTAAACCCTAAACCCTAAACCCTAAACCCTAAACCCTAAACCCTCAAGAAACATTGGGGTTTTAAGGATTTTAGGGCTGAGGCCCTGGGATGCCTAGACCTCGGCCCGGCCTCAATGTCTGTTTGTGCGCTGACGGCTGCCTCAAGCAGGGGCCCTAAACCCTAAACCCTAAACCCTAAACCCTAAACCCTAAACCCTAAACACCTTTCGAACCTTACGAAGTCTTCATAAGCCGTCGACTCAGATGCCATGCAGAGTCATGGAAGTCTCGTAGCGTATCCTACTTCAGTGTTCCCCGTTATGCTAACATAACAGTCCTTAATAAGGACAATAGTACCCCCCCTGCGATAACCCCTATTCAGGACTGCTAGTCTAGGGGGGAACATCCCAAAGCATCCTACTCAGTGTTCCAGGGTTCGGCCGGGGGGGGGGAGGTTTGGACTTGGCTGTCTGGGATTTGAGGGTTTCAGGGTACTTGTTTACTACGAGCAGCTGTCCCTCGTGAAGAAGTTCGGGGGCAGGGCCTGCCCCCCCACGGGAGCTTCATCAACTGTTTCGACGTCGCTCTCTGCCTGGCACTTTTTGGCAGACTCTACCTGAAATTTTGGAGAGCTCTCACAACGACATGGTCGGATGAACTCTGCAACAGGTTCTACATGGCCTTCCTTGCGCTTAGCTGCAAAGTGCGGGGGGGGGGGGGGGGGTAGGACCCTGGTTTTTTGCTCGCTGCGATACAAGGCCAAAGCATCCCTTGTACAAGGGGAGGTTCCCTTTCTACTAAGTCCTTAATAGGGATTAAGATCGGGGGTACTATAACACCTATTAAGGACTGTAAGTAAAAGGAGGAACATTCCAATACATTCCCCTCACAACCACGAAGAGCCTACAGAACATCTTTCAACAGAATCCTTTGGCTTTCGGTCATGAAAAGATAGACCTCCCAAGGTGAGATTATACCAGGATGGTCCTTACAACCCTCTGAAAATATTCCTGAATATGATCCTCTGAAACCCACAAAGGGGAAAAATGTCCCAAGGTTTAGGGTTTAGAGTTTAGGGTTTAGGGCTGGGTTTAGGGCTACACTCTAGGATCAATATGCCCTCACTTGAGCCACATGCTACCCAAACCTTGGCGGCGATGAACTTCTCTGGAAAGTCCTTCTTGTCAGCAGCCCCCGCAAGCGTAGCGGCCTTTAGGGTTTAGGGTTTTAGGGTTTAAAAAGACGGCCCTTTTTTCTCATGGTGGGCAAGAGCGAAGAAGTCCATCAAGGTCTTGCAGGCGGTTTAGAAGTTTATGGTTCGTACTAGAATGAGTCGGACTTCAGTGAGCCATCAGGCTACCCGTTTTTGGGGTGGGGTGGGGGGGGGGGGGTGGAGAGATTGCCCGGGAGCCCAGCTAGCCATCACGCCAACCTGATGCTCACAGCCGATAGAACGGCGCTGGAATATACTCCCCTTAGAACCTTTAAAAAATGTTTAGTATCCTCTTGGGTTTCATATAAACCAAAAATGCAAAATGATTCCCAAGGGGGACTAGAAGAGTACCAATCCTGAGCTTCCAGCTGTGGCAAGCAGGAAGACCAGCCGCCTTCGCATGCTGCCTCTGCATGTCTGCATGTGAGCAGGCTGAGCTCTGACCCCTGGAGACCCTAAACCCCAATCCCTCATACCCCCTCATCCGGCCTGAGGCCTGCTTCTACTGGCGCGTGGTTATCATGGAGCCTTTTGATGATGAGCGGCTGCGGGATCCGCAGTCTCTTGAGGCTCTGCCCCCCCAATCCCCCAAACAACATGAAACCCTTGAACCCCGCGGCAAGTCAACGAAGGGCCTTCGGGGTAACACTCCCTTCATAAACCCCAACCGCCCTGACCCTAAAGTCTCCATTCAATTCTAGTGCTTCGGCACTGCGACAGCCTCCGGGGGCGCGACCGTGAAATTATTTGGTTACCTCTTTGTCGGCACTCTTCCCGGCCCAAGTTCCTGGGGAGTTCAGCAATGGCATCCTTCGTAGGGCGCTGACCCGACGGACCCTCTTCCTGACAGCCTCCGGAATTTGCACGCTTGCTCATGGCAGTACCTCGCCCCAGGGGTGCTGGTTCAAGCGTTTTCTCGCTGCTTCGAGCAGCTTTGCGGCGGTCGGCGCACATGTTGATGTCCGGGGCCCTTTGACTCGAAATTGACCCCGACACCCGAGCGGAAAAAAGACCTTCACTCTCCCTAAAAGCTCGACACCTTCGAAACCCCCCGACCCGAAACCGCAGTCCTGCCATGGGAGTCAGATGGGCCCACAGTTCCATGATAGCAGCAGCTAGGCTCCTTAGCTTCTACATGGGCTTTTGGCCTCAGGGCCCCCCCTAAAATTACCCTAAACCCTAAACCCCAAACCCTTCTCAGCAGCAAGATGGCTTTTCGAAGGCGAGCAAACTGCAACCGTGCCTCCGCACTTCACTCCCTTTCCCCCCAACTGTCGCACCTGCAATTGGGCGTCTAGGTACTAAGATCGAGCGGGCCCCAGTCATGTGCAAAGTCTTAGAGAGCCCTAAATCCCTAAACCCTAAACCATAAAACCCTAAACCCTAAACCCTAAACCCTAAACCCTAAACCCTAAACCCTAAACCCTAAACCCTAAACCCTAAACCCTAAACCCTAAACCCTAAACCCTAAACCCTAACCCCTAAACCCTAAACCCTAAACCCTGTCCTGGGACCGACCCTCTGAATGGCCTCACCTGTACACTGCGCGACACCACTGTGAAACATCAGGAGGACCCCAAGGGGGTTCGAGCAGCTGCAGGGTTTTGGGTTTAGGGTTGAGAGTTTAGGGTTTAGGGTTGCGGGTTGAGGGTTTAGGGTTTAGGGTTTGGGGTGAAGGGTTTAGGGTGTCATTGATGGACCCTGCCCCCAACGCTGGGATTCTCCTGGTTCACCTTTAACCATGAAGCCTCTGCCCGAAGGTGGAAATACAGAAAGCCCCCTAAACCCGGCCCTAAACCCTAAACCCTAAACCCTAAAACCCTAAAACCCTAAAACCTAAAACCCTAAGCCCTAAACTCTATACTCTAAACCCTGAACCCTGAACCCTAAACCCTGAACCCCAAACCCGAAAAGAAGATTCCCAAACACAGGCCCCCCTACAGTTCAGCTGCGAGTTCAGGGTTTAGGGTTTAGGGCCACTGCCCCCCCAAGGACGTCCGTCCGCAAAATTCCGCAAAACTTCGCCAAGTCCACGGCGGGCATTAACGACAGCACTCCTAAGACTGCGGGGGCTGCTAGCGGCTGTTGCTGCTGCTTTTTCTAGCTGCTGCTGCTAGCTGCTCCGCTTCCCGCAAGAGGGAGTGCCAACACCTCAGAGCCTGAGATGCGTTTCAGAGATCACCAAGCTGCTTGTACCTGCCAACTTAGCCGTCTGGGATTTTAAAACATGCTTGAACAGACAAAAACTAGACCACGGCAATCTCAACGAGCACGGCCCCACCGCTGCTTCCGAAACAAAGCGCAAACGTCCCCTGAGATGCACAGCGAGCCCCAACTTTGCCCCAGGTCTCGTGACTCCACTGTCGCACTGGGCCATCTGGGACTGGACCTCCAACATGACCTGGCAGAGACCACAGGCTCTGAAAACGTGTTGCATATAAGGCAAGCGAAGTCGCACATATGGGTCTTCCCCAAAATATTAGGGTACCCCTGTATGCCCCACATAGAATCGAGTCCCCTTAAAGGGACCCCCTAAAAGGGAACCCCTACTTTCGGAAACTCCCATAGAATGTCCCAAGGCAGCCGGGGCTGGGAGTCATATGACTGCCAATATTTAACCCCCCCTCTACCCCCTAATATTCAATACCCCCCCATTATAGTTATATTGTAGATTGGGGGATTTTAATATTAGGGGGCAGGGGGGTTGAAGCTGCAGCTCCCAGGAGCGTCACACCCACCAGTCGACCCAACACCAGCTCCTAAGACCAAGGGTTTAGGGTTTAGGGTTTAGGGTTTAGGGTTTAGGGTTTAGGGTTTAACCAAAAGAACGGAGTCCAGAAAAAGCCCCGAAATCTCTAAACACAAGGGTGTTGGCCTCCTCGCGAAGCGCTGTGTGCACGTGCCGTGTCAGGGAGCGCTTGTAGAAGTACATGAAGCCTGGGTGACTTGGAAGTGGCGTAGGGCGTAGAGATGGTTTAGGGGTTTAAAGTGTATTCTGGATTCAACACTTCAAAAGCTTCCTGACCAAAAACCTAAGCTCACCTTGAACCCCTCCCCGGCTTCCGTCCCAGACAAAAAGCCCCCCCAAAAAACCTCAACCCGTAACGTCGAGGTGGCGCTGTGCACCCACTCGGCGTCTCCGGCTCTCTTGGGTTTTGGGGGGCTGAGCAGGGTCAGAATCACTGAGACGCCCCAGTAGCGAAAGCAAATGAAGAAACGGCCCCCTATTCCCCCTTCCTATTTTTCAGAAAAACCTCTGCTTTATGGAGCCTGCTGCCTCAAGAAAGGCAGTGCGGGCAACTACTGGGCATCTTCGCGGGGGGTGGCGACGGAGCTGCTTGTCTGAGGGCGCCGGCCAACGGCCAGCACAGCCAGGATGATGAAAACCTCTCAGAGTCTCAGATCATTTCGGGTTTAGGGTTCAAGGTTTAGGGGCACTCTGAGAGCCTTTTGGGTTCAGACTTTCAAGGTGGAGCAGTGGACGAAAGTTACCGACAGTATCCTGTCTTTGATCATCTTGGGGCTGTATAAGCGAGTATTGCGCGGATTCCCACAGAGTCCTCCTTGAAACTGCCCCTAAACCCTAAACCCTAAACCCTAAACCCTAAACCCTAAACCCTAAACCCTAAACCCTAAACCCTAAACCTCTCTATCACATATATATTTAAACCCTATAGTCCTTCGTGGCTAAGGGTCATTTCTTCGTGGCTAAGGGTCATTTCTTCGTGGCTAAGGGTCATTTCTTCGTGGCTAAGGGTCATTTCTTCGTGGCTAAGGGTCATTTCTTTGTCGCTAAGGGCAATTTCTTGGTCGCTAAGGGCCATTTCCTGGGTGCTAAGGGCCATTTCTTCGTGGCTAAGGGTCATTTCTTCGTGGCTAAGGGTCATTTCCTTCGTGGCTAAGGGTCATTTCCTTCGTGGCTAAGGGTCATTTCCTTCGTGGCTAAGGGTCATTTCCTTCGTGGCTAAGGGTCATTTCCTTCGTGGCTAAGGGTCATTTCCTTCGTGGCTAAGGGTCATTTCTTCGTGGCTAAGGGTTTCTTCGTGGCTAAGGGTAATTTCTTCGTGGCTAAGGGGTAATTCTTCCGCCCCACCACCCCCCCCCCCCCCCCCCAACCCCCCCAACCCCCACCCCCACCCCCCCCACCCCGCCACCCCCAACCCTTTTTCTTGTAATGCTCATCTTTGTGTGACGCAATGCGGATTTTTAAGAACGAATTTGTTCTGTAGCCGTAGTCTTCGTTGAAAAGAACTTACTTTTTATGGTTTCTTAATGTTATGTGATTCTCTGGGTGGGTGGGTGTTATATCCAAGCCGTAAATATAACACCACCATAAAATTGCTCGATCCGGAGCTGCTGAACCCTAAACCCTAAACCCTAAACCCTAAACCCTAAACCCTAAACCCTAAACCCTAAACCCTAAACCCTAAACCCTAAACCCTAAACCCTAAACCCTAAACCCTAAACCCTAAACCCTGAACCCTAAACCATAAACCCTAAATCCTAAACCCTAAACCCTAAACCCTAAACCTTCTTGCAGCGGGCTCTTCGAGCCCCCTTCAAACCCTGAAGCCCCTTGGTTGCCTCCATCAGCTGTGAGTTGGACACGCCCTCCGGGGCTCTTGGCCTAACCGAAAAAAGGTTTAGGGTTTAGGGTTTAGGGTTTAGGGTTTAGGGTTTAGGGTTAAGGGTTAAGGGTTAAGGGTTTAGGGTTAAGGGTTTAGGGTTCAAAAGGGAGTTCAGGGCCGGGCAGGGATTAGTGGGGTTTAGGGTTTTACCAGGCTTGGGTAGGGTTTGGTAGGGCTTTTGGTAGGGTCTAGTAGGGCTTCGTCGCATGTAGGGTTTACAGAAGGAGTCGCGGGAGTTGAAAGCGGGGGGGGGGGGGGGGGGGGGGGTGGGGGGGTCTCTCCCTTTTTGAGTATCGTGTGGCTTTATCAGGAAACACCACCAAAAAGGTGAAAAGGGAAACACGGTCGCGCTGGAAGAACACGAACACCACCCCTCTGTGCCGCGGGCAGGTTGTCCACGTTGAACGGGTTTGCTGGCCTGATCTGCGCGAATCAACGCTGCAGGGCAGCAGAACATAGGAGTTCAAGATTCAGGGTGTATCTCCCACCTGCCCAAGGACAGAAAAGCAGTCACTAAACTACAAGAAGCCAGAATGTGTGCAAGATCAGTGTCGGAGAAGTAAGATAATTAGGCTTTTTGTTTCTGTAGCCCTTGGGATTCATGGGACAAGGATGCGCAACTCTTCACCCTAAACCCTAAACCCTAAACCCTAAGCCCTAAACCCTAAACCCTAAACCCTAAACCCTAAACCCTAAACTCTTTCGTGGGGTTTTGGGGGCTTCAAGTACAGGGTTGCCCCCCTTCTGCTTGGCGAAGTAAAGTTGGTTCGTCTGTTGGGTGGGAGCTGAGGAATCCTTAAGCCTTTTTAGGGTTAGAGTTTAGGGTTTAGGGGTTTAGGGGTTTAGGGGTTTAGGGGTTTAGGGGTTTAGGGGTTTAGGGGTTTAGGGGTTTAGGGGTTTAGGGGTTTAGGGGTTTAGGGGTTTAGGGATTTAGGGATTTAGGGTTTGGGAATCATTGTGTCCCGTATCTTTGTGTTCGGAATCCCCCAGAAAAGTGACCTCTGCTTCTTGATAGCCCAGTAGAGGGAAGCTTGAGCCAAAAATTGAAAAAGAGGGGGCAAAAAAGTACCAACCCTAAACCGAAAGCCCTAAACCCGGGACCCTGAACCCTAAGCCCTAAACCCCTAAACCCTAAACCCTAAACCCTAAACCCTAAACCCTAAACCCTAAACCCTAAACCCAGAAGTGCTCTGGGCCAGTGCAGGCGCGGAGCGCGGCGAGTCGTGCGCAGGGCTCTGGAGTCCTGGCATTGCTCAAGGGTCTAGGGTCTAGGGTTTAGGGTTTAGGGTTTAGGGTTTAGGGTTTAGGGTTTAGGGTTTAGGGTTTAGGGTTTAGGGTTCAGGGTTTAGGGTTTAGGGTTTAGGGTTTAGGGCTCCGAGAAATAGAGTGGCGCCTCTTGCCCTTTCTAGGGCGTATGTCTGCAAGAAGGATGGTGCATGCAGGGCAACGTGGGGAGGGCCCTTCTCTGGTTCCTAGGCCGCTTTGCTTCAGGTCTTTATCACCCTGGTTCTTAGTAGGGAATGGGGGGCGCTATATATACCCTTACTTTAAGGGGTTATATAGGGTACCTCATTCCGCATTCCCTACTAAGAACCAACCAGTTCTCAGGGTTTAGTCTTGGAAAGGGAATTTTGGGATTGCTGTAGGGGTCTGCTGGGTGCAGGGCTTGAGCGGGCCCTGAATGGCCCGGACCTGAGGCTTGAATCCTGAAACCTAAGCCCTAAACCACGCATCCTTAAACCCTTAGCGTCATGAGGGTATCCCTAAACCCTAAACCCTAAACCCAAAACCCAAAACCCAAAACCCTAAACCCTAAACCCTAAACCTGTGGGGGAGAGTGGAAGGGTTTAGGCCTTCTCGCCCTTGTGCACAACACCTGCCGGCCCGGCACGACGAATCCGGCACAAATGGCTTTCGTCACCAAGTCGGCATCCATCGTGCCGCTGTACCTGGATTCGACCCGAGAGCGGGCTAAAGATCCTAACCTACACCCAAATCCATCTTAAGCCATACCCCCTACAGCCTGTCCTGTAGTGGCCACACTGTAGCAGGCATCATTAAGAACACGCAGGTGTCGAAACTACGCTGAGGGGGCTATATCTCAAGCGCTGAAAGCCCTAAAGAGCCTAAACCGACAAAAACTCTTGTTGCCATCACATACGGGCCTCCATCCATTGATCCGCAACGCGTCCTCAGACCACCTGATTTTCCAGCGCTACAAAGAGGGGCTACAAGGGGTCTTCAACGCGGAGGGGGTTCAATTTCTGAGGCGAGGTGACCGCGTTCCTGGTGAAGTTTCGGTTGGCTTCCTCAACAACATCACCTCGGAGGCAAGTAAACCTTCAATGCACCTGCCATCCCCCTCCCTGGACCTCAACTGGCTATGCGAGCCGAGCAGGGAGGCTCAGGCCGCTTGAGCTCTATTAATTATGGGTAGCTCTCTAAGTTAAGGTCCCGTTCTGGTGGGAGCTGGCTGGCCGACATGCCAACAAAAACTGCCCCCGAGATGCAAAAAGAGCTCCCCGGGATGCAGAGCCAGTTTTAAGCAAAACGAAAAGGATACTTTTTGCATCGCGGGCAGCGAACCCAAAAAGTCGGCGCTCTTAGCATTTCGCTATTGAGTAGTATTCGGGGATGGTAGGCCTTGTTTACAAACCCCCCTCGCCAGGCCAAGGCGGTGTGCAGCATTGACGATGAGGCTTCAAAAAGGCTGCCCCCCCAAGTTCTGAGCCAAGGATTCTGGGAAGAGACATGGACTGTTTCTATACCTCATGGGCTTTGACATGCGACCCTCGCCCGCCTGTCGCGCTGTCAAAAGAATATTGAGGGACCTCTACCTTAAACGAGCCCTCAAATTGGGGACATACCCTAACTATACTATACTATACTATACTATACTACACTACACTACACTGTACTCTACTACACTATAACCCCTGCTATAGTAAGGTATATGAAGCCTAAACCAGTTTAGGGTTCATTACGTCCCTAAGGTCCAGCTGCTCGCTCTGTGTGAAGAGGCGCAAAAAACTGTAAACCCTAAGCCCTAAACCCTAAACCCTAAACCCCCGTAAGGCGGCTGCGCGCTGTTCTCGAGCTGGTACTTGAGCTTCTCGTCCTTCCCATGTGAGCGGTGCTTTGGGTTTAGGGGCCAGCCTTACTTGGAGACTCATGGGTAGTCATAAGACGGGGTATAAGAAAGAAATATGACAGCTGGTTCAAACCTTATTAAAGGTACTTCAACCCTACTTGTATACTACCCCTGAACCTTCAAGTAACACGGACCGGACGGGTTCAAAAGGAGCCCTGGAGATGATGTGGCCTGATTGGGATGCAAGGCGGAAGGAAGCGGCATCAGCCCCACTGCCCCATAAGCCGAACACTTTTAAATGCAGGTTCCAGCAGAGCAATGCAGGTTTCAGATGAGGAGCTCGGTTTGGGACGCCCTTCCCGGCAATATCCCGTCAACTCCTCGAATGCTTAACTAGCCCTAAGCTCTAAACCCTAAACCCTAAACCCTAAACCCTAACCCTAAACCCCAAACCCCAAACCCTGTTGAACTTTCAACCCGAAGCATCGGAGGCGGCCTGCGTTGTCAGTTCGCACTCCTGGACCTTCTCCACATCGATCCCGATCTCAGAAGCAGCAGGTGCTCAAGATCACACAGGGTTTAGGGTTTAGGGTTTATGGGGTTTAAGGTTTTGGGTTGAGGGCACCCTTCCAAGGGCGGCGCGGCAAGACCCTAAAACCTAAACCCCGAAAACCCTGAACTACTCCCGAAACACAAACGGACAGACAGCAACCAAAGGATCGGCCTGATCTCAACCGACTTGGGAAGTTTTTTCGGACCTGGAGGTTGGGTTTAACCGTAAGGGTCCATGTGCCTACGTAGTAAAACTTAGGCCCCCAACTACTATTTGCTTAAGAACCCCCCACGAAAATGAAGAACATGATCCTTAAATATTACCCTTGTTATGTAAAGATATTTGGGGGTTCTCCATTAAGTAGTAAAAAGTCTGAAAGCCGCCTCTCTCGACCCGAGCCCTAAACTTCCCTAAGCCCTAAAGGGGGGTGTAGGGTTTAGGGTTTAGGGTTTAGGGTTTAGGGTTTAGGGCGTCGGGCTCCAGGGCTAAAAACCCAATGCGCACGTCGGCTCCCAGGCCTGGCGCATCACGCGCTCCGAGCACTGCTTGCCGAACATGTGGAGCGGGTCGGTGCCGGTGGTAGGGCACCTGTGGGATTTCGGGAAGAAGGCAAGCCTCTAGTTCTCTTTTTGGAAACTCTCTCTCTCTCTCTCTCACTCTCTCTCTCTCTCATATATATATATATATACAAAAACACTTGCTATAGATCCACATATACATTAGAAAGTCCGAAGCGTTTCCTGTGCAACTTAGTGCCCACTGTTGCCTGCATGGGGGTTCGGAGAGCAGGGGTACCCTTGTTGGGGGTTCGTTTTGTAGGGATGTTGTTTCTTATCTTGGGGGAAACATGGGGTACTCCTGTTTTCGGAAATGCCCATGTGGCTGTATAAGGTTTGGGATGTAGAGGGCCCTAAACCCTAAACCCTAAACCCTATAGCCTAAACCCTAACCCCTTAGGGCTTAGGGATTACGTGCTAGGGTTCCTGTGCAACCATTCCTCTCAGGCAGCGGCTCGTTCAGGAACTGCGCCACATAGCTCCACCACCTCGGTACCCTAAACCCTAAACCTAAACCCTAAAACCCTAGACCCTATAAACCCTAAACAGCGCACAGAAGGCAAGGACCAACATAATTCCTTCAACCTCTTGACTCACTCACCCTACGCGTACGGGACGCGAACAGGAATCAAGGAAGGGCACACGAAGAAAAGAGGAACAAGAAGCAATCTCAACGGGTAGACCAACTAGCGTGGCCCTGAAAACCTGAAAGTATTCCGGAAGATCATCGCCTTATAATTATAAACCCCATATGGGAGGAGATAAACAAGTCCCAAGGGCCTACCTATCGTTGCAGAGCCCACCCAAGCTCGCGGCTTCCAGGCGTACTCAGGCTGTCTCAGCGTGTGACTGGGCGGCCGCGCTGGCTTCGGGTTTAGGGTTTAGGGTTTAGGGTTTAGGGTTTAGGGTTTAGGGTTTAGGGTTTAGGGTTTAGGGTTTAGGGTTTAGGGTTTAGGGTTTAGGGTTTAGGGTTTAGGGTTTAGGGCGTCTCGCTGCGCAGCGGCAGTAAGTACCATGTGCAAATGGCGCCCCTACACACCCAGGAGGTGTGGGGGGGGGCGGCATGTCACGCGAAGGCATCTGTTTTCAATGTAATCCAACAATTTCATTGGTGCTGGGTTCTTTCTCCCCACCCGCTGTGAGCTTTCACAGGCCATGCCTTTTAGGGTTTAGGGCTGTCGCCCTCCGTGAAGGGTGGGGGAACAGAGGGTCAGAAGTTCAGGAGGGGGGAGGGGGGGGGCCCGGGGGGGGGGCCCGGGGGGGGGCCCGGGGGGGGGGGGGGGGAGGGGGCGGGGGGGGGGAGGGGGGGGGGGGGTGGGGGGGGGGCGGGGGCGAAAAAAAAGCGGGGGTAACAGTTTCAGGGCCGTTTTTGGCTCCGGAAGGGAACCCTCCCATGGCAGACCCAGATTTCAGGATTTTCGGGCCAACGACCAGAGGGTCCCAGGAAGGTTCCTAGGGGGCCCCTGGGCGACCACCTTGGTGGCCGAGGTCTTGGGGCTCTCGATTCGACCACTCTCCAATGGCTCCACCCATTGTCCATCCAGTAAAGGTGTCCATCACTGCCAGGTATCTTCTGGGTCCAGGCACCCTTGTAAAGGGTGGGTACGGCCTCAGCAGGCCGGGTGGGAATTTAGACCCTCAACTGCGACACAACTCCAATTCGGGCCCACGTGCCTCTCCCCAGTCGGAGCCACCGTCAGCTCATGGATACAGAGCTGCCTGACGTCCTTTGGGTCTGAAAACACAGGTTTAGGGTTTAGGGTTTGGGTTTAGGGTTTAGGGTTTAGGGTTTAGGGTTTAGGGTTTAGGGTTTAGGGTTTAGGGTTTAGGGTTTAGGGTTTAGGGTTTAGGGTTTAGGGTTTAGGGTTAGGTTTAGGGTTTAGGGTTTAGGGTTTAGGGTTTAGGGTTTAGGGTTTAGGGTTTAGGGTTTAGGGTTTAGGGTTTAGGGTTTAGGGTTTAGGGTTTAGGGTTTAGGGTTTAGGGTTTAGGGTTTAGGGTTTAGGGTTTAGGATGAGAAGCTCTCCTTGAGACGGTACTTTCGCCGCTTGGGCTTGAGATAAAGGGGTTGAGGCTTTAGGGTTTAGGGTTTAGGGCTAGGGTTTAGAGTTGACTTCGGGGGGTATAGGGCCCAGGGTGTAGGAGTGAAGGCACCACATCAAGTGAACCTGTGGGTGAGAGCTGACCCTGGCAGAGGATTTCGCCGCTTAGGGCTTTCTGTTGGGATGTTCCCTTATACTAACAGTCCTAAACAGGGATTATAGTACCCCTATTCCCTTAAACCCTAAACCCTAAACCTAAATCCTAGTGCCCTTGAAGGATTGTAACATTAAGGGGGAACATCCCAATAGCTTTCTGTATTGCGCCGCCATGCGTTGCCGCCCCAAGTCCTCCAAGATAACCTCCCGGCCGGTGACTTGACCTCCTCCGTCCGGGTCCTTTGTATCGTCAGGGGCTTGCTATATGTTTACTATACTCCCTTTAGAACCTTAAGGAACACAATATTTGAAATGTTCCCTTGGTTATCTGGATAGAAAGAAGCGGAATTCGGGGGGGCGGGGGGGGGGGGGGGGGTTATAGTTTAAGCAGACTGTACACCAGGAGCTACGACCTGGGAAAAACGAGGCGGAGGAGACTATAGACTGGGTGCAAGCCGATGAAAAAAGGCCAGGCTAAGTAACTAGATTCCTTGTTTTATTTAATTTGTTTTACTCTTTTTTTTGGGGGGGGGGGGGTGCAACAGTGCCAGCGCGAAAAGTTGGAGCCAGCCCCCACATGTCGTCGACTAAGCTGAGCTGTGGGCATCAGCACAGTACTTCCCTGAGCTGTCGATGCAAAGATCGTGGTAGTCCTGGCACTGGCATGCGGCGTGGATTCAGGAAAAGGCCCCGCCTCTTTACAGGGGTTTGGAAGGAAAAAATCTGAAAAAGGAAGAGGAGACGTGCAGCTTGCAAAGGACATCGGGTCAGAGAGGGGCCTCGGCTACGAGTGTGAGCTCACGTTTTCCTTCCTACCATGTCACTACCTGCCTGCCTCTTGCCCACTCTCTCAAACTCCCCCCTGTGCGAGTTGTAGAGAAGTGTTGAAGAAGACAGCACCTGGAAGCCCCTCTGGCATGAAGGTTCATCGTTTCGTGCGTCTTCCATTGCAGGAATGCTGGAAAACTGCTTGCTATTTGCTTTGCAGGATGTCGCTGAACTGCAAACGCCGATGTAAGCTCTGCCATGAGATTTGGTAGGGCTTAAAGAGCTTCGCACGAAACCTAAGCAGCACTCTTCTCAAGGACTCGGCGTGTCATTCAACCACGCAAGGGGACGATGCAGAAGAGCTATGCGTCCTTTCCAACCAGGCTGAAAATGTGGTAGTGCGGAATGAACTGGAGGTACTTGTCGAGTGCCTCCAGCAGTGAGGGACCTAATCCACAGAATCGAGACTAACAGAAAAACCCCTTATTGGAGGAGCTCGCCAAAGATTCAGAGACCTTCCTCCCCGTCCCCGTATTTCTGGAGAAGGCCTCCCTACCAAAAAAAGTCTCAGGAATGAACAGAAGCAAGCCCGGGCGTCTGCAATCTCGCAACCCTCAAGCCCCTGTGACTTGTTGACCCCGAAACTCCTGACCGCCTTCAGTAATGCCAGCATGATTTGATTCGAACACTCAACCCTAATCCCGTAAACCCTAAACCCTAAACCCCAAACCTCCCTGGCTGTTTTCTGATGAGCTGGGTCCCCCTGCTGCTCTCTTCGGCGCAAACTCCTACAGGCGCCATGCTTGTGTCGCAAGCACAGGAATGTTGCATAGGAATCGGTTCGTAGGCTACAATTCAGGGCTCAAGTGTAAAGACGTGTCCTTAAGCTGTCAGCCCAAAGGAATCAGCTTCTTGGGCCGCGCAAAATTTTATCCCCTAAACCCTATAAAACCTAAACCCTGAACCCTAAACCCTGAACCCTGAACCCTAAACCCTAAACCCTCTCGAAGACACGCTGCCTTCAGAAACCTGTGGCTCTGAAGGCTGGCAGAGTTCATCCACTGATCCTTAGAGGGTTTAGGGTTTAGGGTTTAGGGTTTAGGGTTTAGGGTTTAGGGGCGCAAGATTTGGATGTTTGTGATTCTGGAGACTCTTGAGGCAATTCTCTGCAGTTTAGGGGTTTGTGGGGCTTTTTGCAACTTCGGGAGGGATCCCAAAGACGTCAGGGCATGAGGTGATTGCGAGCCGGGGTCTGCAATCTACAGCGCCCAGTGAACGCATGGTTGAGTAAACAGCGTAGTTCCCTTTGAGGGACATCCATGCTAAAGTTAAGGAAGTGGGGTAACCTGTCTGCATGCTGATCCAACTTGGTTGCTGCTTGTTCTTGCAGTTTATTTGTATGAGAAATGAACCTAAACCCTCAACCCTGCTTGAACCCTATGCCCTAAACCCTAAACCCTAAACCCTAAACCCTAAAACGTGAGCCCTAAAACTCGCTGCAGGACAGTGAGAATCCCACACAAGCTTGTGGAAACCGCAGCTTCGAGGGCGTGCTCGGCCGAAGTGAACTGCATGACAGAGACCAGCAAGCCAACAACAAGATGGGCTACTCCATGTAATCTCTTGCTTGCACTCCCCTAAACCCTAAACCCTGAACCCTGAACCCTAAACCCTAAACCCTAAACCCTAAACCCTAAACCCTAAACCCTAAACCCCAAACCCTAAACCCTTCACGCCTAAGAGCCAGTAGGATGAAAGCAGTCCAGTGCTGTAAGGCCAGGGCCACGAGCACGACATTCTGCGAGGGAACGTCCCATGCCAGCTCGACGACCACCTTGCGGAGGTGGCTTGGGGTTTAGGGTTTAGGGTTTAGGGTTTAGGGTTTAGGGTTTAGGGTTTAGGGTTTAGGGTTTAGGGTTTAGGGTTTAGGGTTTAGGGTTTAGGGTTTAGGGTTTAGGGTTTCGGGCTTAGCGTTTAGGATTAAATAGGGGTACCCCTTTTATACCTAAATAGAATAGAATCCCCTTAAAGGGATCCCCCCAAGAAAAGGTACCCCTATTTTCGGAAACCGCCTCATGAAGCGCGCGCCTTTTTTTGTCTCTGCACACTTACCTGTACGAAGCGCCCACTGCAATGCAAGGTGGGAGAACTCCAAACGTGCGTAAAGCATCGAGCCCTCTTCAACGCTACATCCTGCAATCCTAAACCTAAACCCTAAACCCTAAATCCTAAACCCTAAACCCGAAACCCTAAACTCCAACATGGGCAAGAATGGAGTCCAAATAGTGCTGCGCATCTGTACAACTGAGATTGGAAAAGAAGAACTGGCAAACGGAGCCCACTCAAGATGTCCCCAATTCAAGTCCTCTGCGACCGGCACCCATCCCGACGCTGGCTTCTTGGGTGTTTAGGGGTTTAGGGTTTAGGGTGTAGGGTGTAGGGTTGTGACATGAATAGCCGTAAGCCATCCCCTCTCCCCAGCAAAGCCCAAAACCCTGCAGCCTCAAACCGTTAACTCTTGACCCTAAGACCCGACCCCCCGAGTCGCGCAAGCCCAAGACTGCGTAGTTTCAAGTGAACAGTCGACTGGCGCACCTGAAATGGGGGTTTACGAAAATAAGGAAGCCTCCAAAGTAGGAAAACCAGGTACAATTGTTTCTGCAAAACCCCCCAAATCATGGTAATAACAGTGCTTCCGAAGTCATGATTGAAACCAATGAACACAACACCAACATTGGTCAAGTGATATTCGTTAGAAATGGAAGCAGTAGTTGTCGCGGAATAGTCGTCCAAGAAGGAGTAGCAGTTCAAGCAGTTCGTGGTCGTAGTAGATTGTAGAAGTTGCGTTGAAAGGGTAGTTGTAGCAGCAGCCGCAGTAGTAGTCGACGACGACTACTAGCCGTACTCGTAATTGTAGTAGTAGTACTCCTAGTAGAAGTTGTAGCAGTGGTGCTAGGAGTCGTCCCGGTAATCGTAGCAGTCGCAGAAGTAGTAGTCAGTAGTCGTTGTCGTAGCAGTACTCGCGTTCACTGTCCAGGAGCACTTGAATCAACACAGTTGGAGTTCTGCAACCAGAAACACGTTTGGAATCCAAGCTTGTTCCGTGAGTCAGTGTTGAGAACCGCTCACCGGCAGGTTTGAGACAGCTCTGGGGCCTCTAGCAACCAGGTGTTCGAAAACTTCTGAAGCTTGACCAGAAGGTGATAATTTGCCTTAGGCTCCCGTGCATGCAGCTCCTCCACGCCAACTTCAGTCCTGCGAAGCCTCCTCCTCACATCAACTTCATTGAGGGTGTGGAGTTCGTGGCTTGGGCTTTATAGGTACTGTGGCTCATGGGACCTGCGCTAGAACATTCGACACACTGGGATGTGTCGTTTCTGCTATGTCGGGAAGTTGGGTCTACGTATACAATCTTAGCATACTATACTATTCTACAACTTCATGCAACATCATGTTGCGGTGTGTGTGTGTATGTGAGACAGTGTGTGTGTGTGTGTGACACTCTGTGTGTTTGTGTGTGTGACACTGTGTGTGTGTGTGACACTGTGTGTGTAAGAGCCTAAGCCCTCGAGGCCTCAAGAGCCCTGTGCTTGGAGGTTCATGGGAATTCCAACTGGGGTTATGTAGGATGACTCCAGTCATAACTGGCTCTAACCATCTTTAGGGTTTTCATAACCCTGTACTCATAAACTACCCCATGAACCTTCAAAGTGTTCTAACTGGTAGACGTAGGATAGCTATAGTCATAACTGTCTCTAACATTCTTTAGGGTCTTCAGAACCCTTCTTATAAACTACCCCATGAACCTGAAAAAGTGTTCCAACTTGCGATGCCAGGGGCCTCATCGTCATCTTCCTCCTGCACGTCTCCGGACGGGTTGCGGGCACCGGCCTCAAGGAGAAGGGCTGAGGAATGAGGGTTAAAGGATATTTAGGGTTTACTTCAATTTATAGGTTTTAGATAGGGTTTGCAGGGTTTATAGGATTAAGGGCTTTTTTTCAGGATTAGGGTTTTAGGGTTTCTGGCTGATTTCAGGGGTTAGGGCTTGAGGTTGAGGGTCTTAGGAGAACACCCTTGAACCCTTGAACATTAGATTCACTGCTAGGCCGTCCCACTCCTATCTAATATTTGTCACAAAGCCGAAAACTGGCCTCAGAATCAAAACCTTTTGAGTGCCCCACTGCTCCGCGCCCCGAGCCGCGACCGTACCTGGCGGTGGAAACGATGCTGGATGAGCTGTTGAAGGCTCAGACAACCACCCCGCGCCCCCAAGAGTTCCTGACTTTGGGCAGGCCCTGTAGGGTCCCCAAAGCATGCTGAGCCCAAAGCTCGGTAGACCCTAAAGTGTTGAAAGGGTTTTCAAGGCCCACGGGCTTACAGCCGAAATAGACGCAGGCACAAGATCCGACACACTTGCACTGCAGATGGCCTGGCACGATGCTTCGCCCGCTGCTGGCCCACCCTGCAGCAAGACCCTGGCCCTAAACCCTAAACCCTAAACCCTAAACCCTAATTCGAGTTCTGAGATGTGCCGAGTGCTTACAGGGCGGCTAAGTGTGCCTTATGCCCTCAGCCTTCATCATCTCCCACTAGAACTGGCTTTGTGAAGGGTCCCAAGAGAATTTTTCGAGCTCAACCCTCGACCCCTAAACCCCTGAACCCCAAACCCCCTAAAAACCCAAACCCCTAAACCTCAAACCTTAGGGGTTTTTGTCTCTGCGCCTGTGGCGGAACTCGTAGTCTGTCATGAACTCCTCCACGCATTCCTCATCCTTCTCATCTGTGGCACCCTGCAGCATCGGCTCATGGAGCAAGGCCTCTACTGGGGCCCCCCCTAACTTGGGGCTTATAATGGGGCTGATATAGGGTTTCTATAGTGGCCTCCAACTTATGTAGGGCTAATAAAGGGTTTACCGAGTCGACAGGATTTGTAGTACGGGGTCTATAGGCATTCAGGCTTCAACTCCTGCAAGATCTTGCATTGAAACAAGGATCCTGCGCCATCGCTAGAGTCTAGTGCGTCAGACTGATCAGACTGGAAAATCTGAAGTCGCTTTCAATGCTGAGAAACGAACCGCCTCTTTTTCCCACACTGGTAGCCACAGCGAATGCGTGTTCCCCAGTCTAGGTTCTGGACGCGAAGCATCCAACGTCAGCGTTCAGTTGAAACGATGCCGTCTTCGGCAGAGCTCTGCGGGGTTGCCGGCCTTCTAGGGCTACAGTGGCACCCTTTAAACACCTCCGAACCCCTAAAACCCCCAAAACCCGCAATGGCCCTAAAACCCTAACACCCTAAACCCTAGACCCTAAACCCCAAACCCTATAAAACCCTAAACCCTAAACCCTACCTAAACCCTACACGCCCTTCAGAGGCGGGCTTTGAACTTGGGCAGCGTGCTGGGAAAGAGCACGTCGCTGGCCAGGGCGTCGCTGGGTAGAGGAGGCACCTCCTCATCCTCCAGATACAGCCTCGGCTAGAAGCTTTGGTGTAGGGATTTTTTGTTGGGGAAGTTTTGGGGGAGTTTATAAGTCCCTCCAGAACCCGAAAGCTTATAAACCCTAAACAGAAAAGCCGGGCTAGCCTTCTTTCGAGTCTTTTGCGTGGGGGCATTTGGGGAGCCTACGGTCCATAAGATTCCCAAACCCCAGCCCACAAACGCCAAACCCTGAAACCCTGAAACCCTGAAACCCTGAAACCCTGAAACCCTAAACCCTAAATCCTGAACCCTAAACCTTAAACCCTAAACCCTAAACAGTGCAGACTGGCAGCTGCTTGTTCTCGTAACCGGGAACCAGACCCTTGTGCTTCTCGAAGATGCGCTGCAGCTCTTGGACAAACCTGAGCTTGGTTAAAACCAGTAACCATGTAAAAAATCAGGGTTTAGGGTTTAGGGTTTATAGGGTTATAGGGTTATAGGGTTATAGGGTTATAGGGTTATAGGGTTATAGGGTTATAGGGTTATAGGGTTATAGGGTTATAGGGTTATAGGGTTATAGGGTTATAGGGTTATAGGGTTATAGGGTTTAGGGTTTAGGGTTTAGGGTTCAGGGCTTGGGCATTTTTATGCGGGAACCTGAGCTAAACCCAGACTAAGCGCTGGGCCGAGTGAGCGGGCGCCAGATCGCGGTTTCGCCCTTTTCTGGGGCTTATAGCACTTAGTTTACGGTTTAGGGTTCATCTGCCAAAGGTTGGGGTTTAAGGTTTAGGGGTTTGGGTTTCGGGATTCGATAGAACCAGAAGACAAGACCAGAACCAAAGCACAAAGAGTAAACCTTGTGCATACTTGATCGTGTCATAACAAGGGTACCGTTCTGTGGGCGAAGGCCACTGTATCAGGGAACTGCCTACTCTAAGCACGCTGCCCTAGACCCTAAAACCCCAAAACCCCAAAACCCTAAAACCCTAAAACCCTAAAACCCTAAAACCCTAAAACCCTAAAACCCTAAAACCCTAAAACCCTAAAACCCTAAAACCCTAAAACCCTAAAATCCTAAAACCCGAAACCCTAAACCCTAAACCCTAAGAATTAACTTTACTAAACCCTGAACCCTATGCTGGCTCGGGGTTGCGGGCCTCATTGGGCACATCTGATGATATGTTGGGTATCTGGCTTTTGTTGCTCGCTCTACCACTTTTGGGGGTGATCGATGGGTAGATCACAGCTCTCCGACTTAACTTGCAGTGTACCTCCAGCTACGGTCCTGAAGCCCAGGGCCTAAACGCACCGTGAACCTGGCCCTGGTTTAGGGTTTAGGGCTAGGGTTTAGGGTTTAGGGTTTAGGGTTTAGGGTTTAGGGTTTAGGGTTTAGGGTTTAGGGTTTAGGGTTTAGGGTTTAGGGTTTAGGGTTTAGGGTCTGGGAGCACTTAGGTGGGTCCTCAGGCCCGGTGCCCGTGAGCTCAACGCCTCAAACCGAACCCCTCCGCAATGAGTCCAGACCCTAAACCCCAAACCCCAAACCCCAAACCCCAAACCCTAAACCCTAAACCCTAAACCCTAAGCCCTCTACAATGAGTCCAGGCGCTGCGCATGCACCTCGTCAACTCTCTCGGCCGACGGGTTAGGGTCCGCCGTGTCGATCCGGATGGGCTTCCCGACCAAAGCCGCAACAGGCTTGGCGTAGGGAATCAGTGGCCTCAGTGGTTTAGGGGGCACAGAGTTTTTTGTGAGTGATGAGCTGTCAGACCCTCAACCCCAAAAACCCAACAAAGCCTTGGGTTTTTGGGAGCTTTGGGTGGCTTTGGATGGCTTTGGATGGCTTTACAACCAAAAAACCCGTAAAATCAGTGCATGGGGGCTCTCTTTGACAAGAACTGGTTGAAGGTCTAGAATTCCGCGGCACAGCCTCCCGTTGCAGGGATTTTGTGGAAACTGGTTGCGAGTGGCAAAGCCCTGGAGCGTCCTAAAGCCGGGTCACAAAGCAGCCCGCAGTCATCGTGAATCATGACTTATCAAGCTCATTGCCCCAGCAGACACCCTCATGCATAATGGCTATAGTGACGTGATCATTTATAATGAATATCAAGCTCGTTGCTCCAGCAGGCACGTGCGCAATGGCTTGGGTTGGCTTGGTGGGTGCATTTGGCGTTCCTGCCACTTGCATCTTGAGTGATGCCGACCACTCTGCAGGCACAAAAATCATGATCTTGGCCAGGGAGCATTCCCAACCGACCATAGGCCAAAGGCAGCGAAATCCTTATTGTCATCACTTCTGTCATCAAGAGTCTAGCACCATGTCGGTGGCCGTCCCAGGGCTCCATGGATGTTACCCCTGCTGCTTGCGTGCGTACCCAAATACAGTGGATCCTTGGCACAAAAAAGACTGGTTCGGAAGCATGGGGCGGCCGAGATTCTTAAGGCGTCTGCTCATGCGCATCATGAACCCGCCAAGTCCAGAGGACTTATCCTGGGGCCAAGTCCATGCAGGAGAGCCGTGTCTTCTGAAGATTGCTGTGAGGGGCCCCTGTAGTTTGTTTTTTGACAGATCAGAGCACCCAATTAGAACCTTTAAGGCTTCTTGCGCCAGATTGATTTAGGGATATAGGGGTCTTAGGGTTTTTGTTTTCAGGGTTTAGGGGGATGCTTTGGGGGATTTTGGGGGATTTGGGGGTCTAAGTGTAAAGTGTCTTTCTCTCCAGGCGGCCAGCATCGTGAAGAGCTGCGTGTGGCCCAGGCCGTAGACCGGAACGACGTCCACGCCAGTCTGCGGGGGAAACTCTTTCATAGGCCCCCCCCACCCCCCCCCCCCCCCACTCTTCCCAAAAGACTCTTGGGCTCCCTTTAACTTAAGGCATACTAATCATGTCAGCAAGTTGAAAATGTTCAGAGGCTATAGCACAAGGCCAAGATCGCATTCCTCCACACCACTTCTTTTCAAAGGAGCAATCTAAATGAGTGCTCCAGGTGTTCCCGCCTGCAGCGCGAGGCGGATGAAGCCCTTCCGGCTTTTGATGAACACCTCTCTCGTCAGTCTTAGGGGTTTTAAGGTTTTTTGTAGGGTTCAGTCAAACACCTGAAAGTACATGGGTAGTCAGAAGTAGGGAAGTGAAGCCCAAACAAGGTTATAACCTAGTCCTGTACCTTCTTGTAACCCCAGTCATACCCAGTCATAGCTACCCCACGAACCTCGAACCCTCGAACCCTAAATCCCTCACTTGGCCTTGAAGCCTCTTTGAAACCATGTTAGCATATGGGGGTCCCTTGTAGGGTCCCTTTTCAACCTAAATAAGGAAAATGTCTAATCTTCCCAAAAAGCCAATCTGGCTGGCTAAAGCCGTTCCTTCACCTTCATGGTTTCCCTTCCCCCCCCGCCCCCCGCCCTTCCCCCTAAAAAGCCTGAAAAGGGCTTAATTGTGCCCTTCAATGGGGTGGAACCTAGGGGGGGGGGGGTAGTATAGAGAAGGGAAAATAGGGGAACCCATGACCCTAAACCCTAAACCCTACCCCCCCCAAACCCTAAACCCTTTTCCCTAAACCCCAATCCCCAAAAACCCTTAAACCCCAAACCCCAAACCCCTAAACCCTAAACCCTAAATCCTAAACCCTAAACCCTAAACCCCAAACCCTAAACCCCAAACCCTAAACCTTAAACCCTTCTCAGTTCACACGAATCTCGGGTCCTGCTCCAGGTCTGGCCTCATCCTGGGGCTGATTTTGGGGAACTTTGCGTGGCTCGCGGCATGTACTTGAAGGTTCATGGGCAGTTTGAATTAAGTGGGTTTAGGGTTTAGGGTTTAGGGTTTGGGGTTTGGGGTTTAGGGTTTAGGGTTCATGGGTAGTTTATGAGAAGCGGGGACATATAAGTTCATATAAGCACCCTTAAGAAGGTTCGAATCAACTATAGCTTCTTGACTTAGAACCCCAAGTAGTCGGGTTTAGAAGGCATAACTAACCTCTGATCTTTGCAGCTCCGGTGGTATAGAACCCATGTGCCGCTCGTATCTTGTACTGCTGGATAATGATCCTTCACAGACTCAACCCGAAACTCAGTTTCAGGAACCCTGCATCCGACACTATGTTGCTATATTAGGCCCCTAACCTGAAGCTCCAGCTCAAGCTCCCCCAATCTACACAACTTACCCGGAAACCCTAAACCCTAGACCCTACATAATTCCGAAGCCCTCCCCCCCCCCCCCCTTCCCGCCCCCTACAGAGAAGTGGACCACAGCCCAGTGTCAAGAAGATCTCGGCGATGCCGCCCGGGACGATGAAGGTGATGTTGTTCGGGTACTCCCAGCTCAGAGCCTGAGTCTCCCTAAACCCTGATCCCTAAGCCCTAAACCCTAAACCCTAAACTCTAAACTCTAAACCCTGAACCCTAAACCCTGAACCCTGAGAGACTGCAGGGCTGGAGACCCTGAAGGCGTGCCGCACCTGTTGGGGGGGGGCCAGGAATTGTGTAAGAGGGGTGCAGAACCGGGAGAAAAATTGTGCTGAACGTGCCCAGCGTCGCGCTTGATGGACTGGGGCGTGGCTGGGATCAAGCCCCCAAAGCGCACCAGCTGCCCTTGGCTGCACTTCACAGGGCTTTCTTTCCCAGGATTCGCTTCGAGGAGCTTCAGGGCTTCTGGAGCTTGCGGAGCTCCGGGTGTGTGCAAGTAGGACCCCTGGACTCAGTTCCCGTATGCAACTCTCCATGAGCCCATCAGGTGGAGAAGACTACGGATGGCTCTCTCTCTCTCTCTCACACACACACACACCCGCGCATCACGAAGACTAGTCGTATGCAGTCGTGTGCCCCACAGCGGTTTGGGGGTTTCCGAAAAATGGGGGGGGGGTTCCCTTTAAGGGATTCTTTATTCTATTTGGGGTATAAAAGGGGGTAAGTCCTAAACCCTAAACCCTATTTTGGGTAAATGCCCATTTACTTGTACGATCCACCACCATGCCAGGAGTCTCAGAACCGGGATTTGAAACAGGATGTCTGCGCCGATGCTGTTCGGGATGAAGCCCTGCCTGCTTAAGGTTTAGGGTTTAGGGTTTAGGGTATTTCGGGTTTCGGGTTTCGGGTTTAGGGTTTAGGGTTCAGGGTTGAGGGTGGGCCCAGACAGCCCCTGTAAATGCGAGGACCTAAACCTTAAGGCCCCGATTGCAGGTAGGCAGATAAGCGGCAGTCCATGGTCTGCCAGTGGATCCGAACCCTAAACCCCAAACCCCAAACCCTAAAACCCTAAAACCCTAAAACCCTAAACCCTAAACCCTCAACCTAGCACACAAAGCTTCTGGGGGTTTCAAAGCCAAACACCCAGCCCGCCTTTGCAAGGTGATGGAGAGCAGCGTGTTGGCAAACGGGATGACTCCGTGCCTGATGTCTGCAGCGCTGATGGTTTGCTTTGCATCTCGGAGTTTAGGGGGATTTGGAATGAGGTTGGAGGGTTTCTTAGGGTTTAGGGTTTACAAGATTTAGCGTTGAGATTTTAAGATTTTGAGCTTGGGCTAAGTTTTGTGTTTTGCCGGGTAGGGCTTAGGCTAACGACAGCTAAACACGTGGCGTGGCACTTCCGACTGCTGGGAGCGGGGGCCGGGACTGAAAAACCACTCCTCCCTTCCTTGAACCCCCACTCTTAGTCTCCCACTGTAGGGTTTAGGGTTTAGGGTTTAGGCTTGAGGGTTTAGGGTTTAGGGTCTGAGGCCGACCACTTTGGTCTGAAGCCCCCCCTGAGTTTGACGAAGAAAGTCATGTTCATGCAGTGTTTAGGTAGAGCTGCTTCTGGGTCTTACGACTTTACCTGTCCTTGTTACTTGGGCCGTCCAGTCGTCAGTGCCAAACCTGATCAATTGTGCCAAGTTGCGGCATAACGGCGAACAGGTACCTACGGTCCTTTTGCAGCGGCTCCTCTGCAAGCAGACGCGCTTTCTCAGAGTCAGCCTTCCGCTTTAGAATGCTGCTGCATGCTCCCTCTTCCTTGTAAGGGTCACGAACAGCTGCAATTAGATTCATGGATAGGCACGATCACTCCGCCTACATCCCAAGCTGGGTACTTAGCGTGCTATCAACACGATCATTGCGCCCGCCTTGAAACCCGAAAATCTGAGCTCACGAGCAGCCTCTAACCTCCGAACTCTACTGCGTGACGAACCGAAAGCGAATCCCAATGCGGCTCCTCGAAGACCGCCTCGGATAAAAGGCGAAGTGCTTCTACATTCTGGACTTTACTATATGACAAGACGAGACGAGACGAGACGAGACAAGACAAGTTTAGGGTTCAGGGTTCAGGGTTCAGGGTTCAGGGTTCAGGGTTCAGGGTTTAGGGTTTAGGGTCTAGGGTTTAGGGTTTACGGTTTAGGGTTTAGGGTCAACGAACCCATGAAATCCCGAACCTTGAGAAGTGCGTATAGGGGATTCAAGGTTGATGATCTAGGCTTCGCCGGTTCTTTTCGTACAACAAGGGGCCCTGTGGGGGTTTACGAAAATAGGGGACCCCTAAAGTAGACCCCAACTAGTAGGATCCCCTATTCAAATCAGGACCCCAAGGAGGTAATTACCCCGAACTTCGGAAACCCCCACATTTTTGGATCGCCTTGGGGTCGCCCGCCTTGCTCTAGAACTGCGGTTTGGGTGCTTTGGCGGAATAAAGAGGGGCCGGCAAGAGCCAGAAACCGAAGGAGCACCCAAGGTCACTATGAACCCTAAGAGCCCCCAAACCTTAAACCCTGAACCCTGAACCCTAAACCCTAAACCCTAAACCCTAAACCCTGAACCCTAAACCCTAGCCCTAAACCCTAAACCCTAAACCCTAAACCCTAAAAGGAGCCCAGGGAGCTTTGAAGGAGAAGTAGCGTAGCAATCCTCGGAGGCGGCAGCGCACGGGTGGGGGGGGGGAGGGGCACAAGCTTGGAGGTCGGTTGCATAAACCCCATACTTCCGGGGTTTAGGGTTTAGGGTTTAGGGTTTAGGGTTTAGGGTTTAGGGTTTAGGGTTTAGGGTTTAGGGACCTAATAATTGTAGTTGGGCCCCTGGAAGTGTAGGGTAAGTTCTAGGATGACCTCAGGGGTTTAAGGAAGCTCCTCGCAAATTTGATCGCAAACGGTATGGCTTCAAGCCCCTAAGCCCCTAAACCCCTAAACTCTAAACTTCTATACCCCTAAACCCGAGACCTAGACTTCTGAACCCCTCAACCCTAAACTCCAAACCCCTGAACCCCTAAACCCCACTAAACTCCCTGCAGCTCGAGCAGCGGTCGTTGAGCCAGCGGTCGAACCTCCCTGACAACGCTGAGCCCCCACTGCGGTAGGGACGCTCCATGTGCATTGGCCAGACCTCACCAAAGAGATGGGTCCATGTATCCAAGTAGCGTTTAGGGTTTAGGGTTTAGGGTTTAGGGTTTAGGGTTTGTGTTTTCTGCTATTTGAGAGACTCACGGCTTAGGGCTAACGGCCTTGGGATCTCAAACTATACGTCACCACAATAAATTTATAATATGGCAACCAATATTAAACAAGCTACCAGAATGAGATGATACTTCGCAAATAACTTCGCATCCTCATCACCGGGTGAGTTCCATGATGCTTCAATGCAACTGGGTTTTCGGAGCTGCTGCAGTGTACTACCGCTTCCTGTGGATGGAAAGGAGCTAGGATGCCCCTTAAAGCCCGCTGAAGAAAACATACTCCTGAATATGATCCTCAGAAACCCCAAAAAGGAAAAATATTAACAATGTCCCCAAAGGCCTAAAGAAGGTTCGTGCGGAGGCTGCAGCCGGGTCGCCGCCAATGCTCCCAGGCCAAGCAAGGCAGAACCTGCCGCTATGCGGTACCTGCCAGCAGGCAACTTTTTGCATGCTCCAAGAGAAGGAGAAGGCGATAGAGTGAGAGGGAGAGAGAGAGATAGAGAGAGAGACCGAAACAAAAAAAGCCAGGAAGAGAAAGGAGAGACAGAGAGACAAAGAGAGAGCGAGAGAGAGAGAGAGAGGAGAAGAGAAGGCAAAGAAACATTTCAATTCGAAAGCCGACTGGGCTTTTTTGGGGTTTCGGGAGAGAATCGGAGAAGCCCCCCCCCCCCCCCAACCCCCACCCCCCCACCCCCCCTAAACCCTAAACCCCAAGCGCTAAACCCCAAGCGCCAAACCCCAAACCCCAAACCCCAAACCCTAAACCCTAACCCCTAAACCCTAAACCCTAAACCCTAAACCCCCCCCCCCTCCTCCTCCCCCAGCCCTCCTCCCCCCCAATTTCATCAGGCGGCCCTGGCTTCCTGGCCAAGGCGTAGAGGATGCAAGGCAGCCTCAGCTTCGTCGGCCAAACCCCCTGAAAGATGGTGGTAGGGTTTAGGGTTTAGTTTAGGGTTTAGGGTTTAGGGTTTAGGGTTTAGGGTTTAGGGTTTAGGGTTTAGGGTTTAGGGTTTAGGGTTTAGGGTTTAGGGTTTAGGGTTTAGGGGTTTAGGGGTTTAGGGGTTTAGGGGTTTAGGGGTTTAAGGGTTTAAGGGTTTAAGGGTTTAAGGGGTTTAAGGGTTTAAGGGTTTAAGGGTTTAAGGGTTTAAGGGTTTAAGGGTTTAAGGGTTTAAGGGTTTAGGCCACGAAGCCTCCCACAAGCCCAAAATTGAACCCTGTATTCAACCCTATACATAAAAACTCCTATTTTTAAAAAACCCTACACTGCACCCGATATTGAAACCCTTTTCAACTCTGCCCTAGAAGCCTAAACCCCCGCCCCATGATGGTGATCCACCCCCATGGCCCTACACCCGAAAGCGCTGAAGGCCGCCACAATGCGCTGCCGGACCGACAAAGTAGCAAGCCTCGCGGGCACAAGCAGGGCTCAGTGTCTTCACAAACCCCTAAATCCCCCCCCCAAAAGCCTAATGCACCCTAAGCCAAGCAAAACCCTAAACCCCCACGAAGGGTCTTCAGGGCTTTAGAGAGGCTTCTTCTTGTGTTTTTGAGCAATGCCGCTTTGCTATGTCAGTAGCTCAGTAGGCAATTCCCGAAGATGGACAAGCTACGTCATCGCGCCATGCATCAAACAGCACAGAAGAGAACCAAGACACATGCGACAAGAAGAGAGAGCCGGCGCGATCTCAGAATTAGCGGCCGGATGGTGAAACGGTATTGCCTCTCTCAATACAGCAAGTTCAGGAAGCTTCTAAACCCGAAACCCTAAACCCTAAACCTTAACCCTTACCCTAAACCCTAAACCCCAAACCCCTAAGCCTCCAAACAGGCTTCTTGGGTTCTATGATGCTGTATGGCTCTCGAGGGCTAGCGGGTGTCTACCGCCTGAAGCGACATGCCCTGCAAAGCATCTTAAAGCCAATGGGGGGGGGGGTGTTGAGTTTACAGGAACCCCGATGTTCCTACTCGAGCCCAAAGCTAATTACAAGTTCCGTGTGACGCCACGACTAAGGATTCGTGGCTGTTTGGGTTCACTGTTTAACGGAACTTCTTCGACCCAAGCTGAATACTTCTGCGTTGTGTCATGCGGGCCACACCTGCGTTGGGGTTCCATCAGCCAGAAGCACAAAGCCACGCGAAAACAGGAGCCATGCAAAGGTGCGGCCTGCAGCACGGAGAAGAAGAGCAAGCTCAGGGGGCTGTATGCTGTTCCTCAGCTCGTCGGCTCATCTATGAAGAACGTCACGCAAACTCGCTGCGAAGTGGGTTTAGGGTTTTGGGATTTTGAACGGCATACTGTATCACGCCTGTGTGCAGCAGTCTTCTTGTAACCTCACCGTGTGATGGATCTGAGCGGTCAGACGCTGGTATAGGACTTACGTGTCATTATGGCCTGCTGCTTCCTGTACCCCGTCAGCGTAAACGGCTGCAAGGAAGCTTAGCAGCATTGGCAACTAAATTTTCGCATAAATATTTCATATACATATTCCTATTCATATTGGGTGTAGCAATGTTGGTATAGGCATGCGCAGAAGTCGGAAGACACGCTCTTAAGCTCCGTTCTCAACGTCAAAGTGCACCCAGGGGTCTCAACTGCTGCCACACATCTGACAGGCTCGGCGTGATGTTGCCTTTGCTCAGGGCGGAGTTTAGGGTTTAGGGTTTATAGAGCTTAGGGATTATCATGGGTAGTTCTAAGGGTTACATGTGCCCTCAACAAGGCCCCTAACCGTTTGCGAATTAAAATTACCTTACTTGTAGTATAACGAAAGAGCCCTCGAAACCCTAAGCCCAAAAAAGGCTGCCAGAACGCACAAAACCCCAAACAAGCACACGGGATAAAACGAACAAGGAAGAAACAAAACCCTAAGCCATAAACCCTAAATTCTAACAAAACAAAAAGAACTCGGCCACGCAACGAAGGCTAGGAAGTCGCTGTGCCCTCGATGGAACGAGGTAGCCCTCAGGATGCAGATGGCGCGTGGGCACCTGAGGGCAAGAAACAGTTGGCTCTCTCTCGCACGTCGGGATGGTTTAGGGATGAGGGTGTTCGTAGGGTTTGGGAGTAAATTAGGGTTGGGGTTGGGGCAAGGGGGGGGTTGTAGACTTGTAGGTTTCGGCGAGCCCCATGCGCCAGCCACGAAAGAAGCAAAACCCACCCATTGCCATCTTAAGTCTGGCCGAAGGCACCCAGTGCCGGGCGACGATACTCAGCCAGGTGTAGCTCATCGCCACCCGCACAAGCATCGCCAGCTTGGCAGGCAGGAAAGCCTCACCAGTTCAGAGCTTCGAAGGATCCCTAAACCCTAAACCCTAAACCCCTAAACCCCTACACCCTACACCCTAAACCCTCGGGTTGAGGGCTTATAGAGTACCCAGGCCTGTGCCAATCTGAACCTAGATCATTCACCCTCGGCACTCGGGATTTGAAACCTGCGGCAGATGCACCTGGAGTCTTTCGCACTACTGCCGAGGTGCTGGTTGATGCAGCTCTGGATACTGCCGAGGTCGCGCAATTACCTTAAAGTGTGCATTTTGCACGTCTTGAGAGATGAGGTTTACACTTGGCATGTCTTCGGCTCAACAACACGCCTCGATGCGGTGTCTTCGCCAGTGCTCACTCGGTCCTAATCCCCAGACCCTGTTGAGCAAGCATATTGCAAACCCTGCAATCCATTTAGGCCCAACCACTCCCGAGAACCTGAGCCACAACTTCAAGCTTCCTGAACCCAAGACCCTATAGACCCAAAACCATAGACTTCGTGCTCATGATCAGTGGCGGAGGGCATCCGCCTCTATGCAAACTAGTCCCAGGTCTCACGCACCTTCCCAGCAATCACGATAGGAACGGTATAATCGTGTAACAAGAGCCATCGAATAAAAAACGGCTTGTAACAGCAATAGCGACACTAAACAAAAACACCATGCTAAATGACAGCAACGCCCGGGCACACAACGTGCGAAGACCGTTGAGGCATGCGCTTTTTCCTCTTAGTAGGATTCACTTATTTTAAGGACCCCAATAGTCAAGTACCCCTAATGAAGTTCGGAAACCCTCAAGTAGCCTTGGCACGCTCTTCTCTTGCACTGCAGGCCGGTGTCAAGCTGTTGACAGCTTGCCGTTTTGTGGCTGCAGCAACATGGGCCAGCATCAGACCATCAGAGGATGCAAGTTCTAGAAAAGGGCGTCCAAGTGAGAAGGCACTGCAACGCCACGTTCCTGGAGGTACGAGGCGTTGATGAACACGTGATCTAGGAACCCCGAGTCGTATTTGATCCTGCCAATGTCCGTGAAGTTGTTCTTCTGCATCACGTCGCGAACACGTCGGTTGTTCTCGGAAGATGCGTCCATCTCGATGAGCAAGAGGCCAACGGCAATCTTACTGAAGTCTGTAGCTTCAAGCACGGCGCCCTCGCTCCCCTCGATGTCCAGAGACCAAAAGTCGACAGTCCGCCGGCTGGGGTCCACAGCCTCCAACAGTTTGTCTAAGGGCTCTGCTTGCACATCAGAGCTGCCATGTTTCTCCAGGTGGCTCAACCCATCCACTGAGTCAGAGAAGCGCAGCAAGGCTGATGACTTCAAGGGTGAGAGAGCACCATGGAAAGCCCAGGCCCGGCGGTGTTTCGTTGCAATCTTGAAATACTCTGCACTAGGCTCAATCAGCAGACCCTGCCACCCCAATAGACTTTCGTAATACACGGTGTTGCTGTGCGTCTCCCCGTCACGTGCCCCGCTTTCAACAAAGAAACCGTGCTTAATCTGACGTAGAATAGGTGCCAGAATTGTATCCTGCCCCCACTGGGAGTACACCATGCCGGCTTTGTGCACTGAGAAGTTGTAGGGCCTACTGCTGGGAGTGTCCAGGTGTATCGCACGTGCAGAGCTGCTAGCAACTTGAAGCAAGGTGGGAGCACATGCGGAGAAGGCTCCCGGAGACCTCTGCAGTTCCTCGGCGGTCGTCGCGCTGCCGGTGTTGAAAGCGGCAATCAACACCAAGGCATTCATGCTCGGCACTCTCACGATGGAACGCGAGTTGTGATTCTCTTGCTGTTTATTTGCGGCTAATGACAACGATGATGGCTATTGCTTTGACCTAAAAGCAAGGCCTTGTGGCCTCAAGGTGTGTTGGGATACTTTGACAAGCAATTCAGTGGGGGCACGATTGCACCATGGTTACACCGGGGATGCTCTCAACGAGAGGTTTGACAGACTGCCTTTCATCTCTAAAGCATTCTGGGCTTGTTCTAGGGACTTTCCCGTTCTGGATCCTTGTTGCAGTAAGCCATCAGGTCGAACGGATCGAGGTACGCCCCCAAATGTGAACCCACCTATCTAGCAAATGTGCACGAGCGTGGTAGTTGGAGTCCTGCGCAGATGGGCAGTGCAGCCTGTAGACTACCTTGGTAAGGCATCCTGGCTTCATGGTAAAGTACCCGACCCTAAGCGTTATTTGCTGTGGTTCTAGAGAGCAACAGCAAACGAAAAGACTAAACCCTAAACCCTAAACCCTAAACCCTAAACCCTAAACCCTTAACCCTTAACCCTAAACCCTAAACCCTAAACCCTAAACCCTAAGCAACAGCAAACGAAAAGACTAAAGACATCCACCTGAGCAGGAGTCGGCTCGGAGAGTAGCGGACAGCAGGAAACCCGGCACTCTTACATGATACTCAGCTGTGTTTAGGGTTTAGGGTTTAGGGATTTAGGGTTGTGACAAGCAAAGTCTCTGACTTGCAAAGGGGACTGTCTAGCTAGGATGGCCTTTAAAACCCTATGAAATATATTCCTGAACATGATCCTCTTAAACCCAATAGGAGAATATAAAATGTCCCAAGGGCCTACGGAGCTAGCCAGTGTCTACCGAAGGAGCACCAGGCTAAACGCTTTCAAGAGATCACAGGAAAAATGGCCCGTTGGGTCCACGGGCTGCTTGATTTTGCACTGGGAAACCCTAAGCCCCTAAACCCTAAACCCTAAACCCTAAACCCTAAACCCTAAACCCTAAACCCTAAACCCTAAACCCTACACCCTAAACCAGCCTTTCTGCAGGCCGAGGCTCTGCCCCAAGGCAGATGGGCAGCAGAAGCCCTTTCACTGCAATGAAGCTGGTGGTGAAGGCGCCCAAGCCTCTGAACATCTTCGGTTTCGGGTTTAGGGCTTAGGGATTTAGGGTTGTGACAAGCAAAGTCTCTGACTTGAGGTAAAGCCCTAAACCCTAAGAAGGGATGCAAAGTCCAGTTGGCTTGATGTTGAACCTCTGAAAACAAAAATGGCCTGAAGTCTTCTTCTCATGCAAATGCTCTTGCGGCCTACTTTGTGAGCACAAGGAGTCCTTTCCCAGCCCCAGCCCTCAACCCTGAAAGCTTGCGGCACCCTAAGATCCCTGGTAGCCCAGGAATCAGATTTCAGCAAGGGTGCCCTTTAGGGTTTAGGGCTTAGGGTTTAGGGTTAGGGTTTAGGGTTTAGGGTTTAGAGTTTAGGGTTTAGGGTTTAGGGTTTGGGGTTTAGGTTATTTGGGGGGTTGGTTACTTCAAATCAGGGAACCGGGGACCAAGACAGGGCAGGAGGGCACCACGCAGCTACCCAGAAATCAGAAGCAAACCTGGGAAGCGAGACCTGAAGTTGCTATTAAAAACGCTAAACCCTAATCCCTAGAGGGTTTAGGGTTTAGGGTTTAGGGTTTAGGGTTTAGGGTTTAGGGTAATCCCAAAAACACCGGAAGCCACCCGCCAAGGCCTTTGAACCCCGCGCCATTGCAATCACCCCTAAGCCCCACTGACCACTTAAAGTTATCCTACTTGTCTCCCCAACTTTGAGTTATTCATGAACCTTCAAGTAGCCCTAAACCCTAACCCCTAACCCCTAACCCCTAAGCCCTGAACCCTTATAAACCCTAAACCCTAAACCCTAAACCCTAAACCCTAAACCCTAAACCCTAAATTCGAAACCCTAAGCGCAAGTGACAGAAGCGCCAGGCCAGGCTTGAGGGTGGGACCCCTACCTCGGAGTGGGATTCGTTTTGGGGCATTTTGGGGCACTGGGTTTAGGGTTTAGGGTTTAGGGTTTAGGGTTTAGGGTTTAGGGTTTAGGGTTTAGGGTCCCCAGCTTGGTTTTGCTTTTCAGGGTTTAGGGCTTCAAGAACTCCGGGTTCTTGGGGGTTTTCTTAGGACGAGTTCAATTTGAGTGTGTGGAGCAGTTGAGAACTTCTATGGGGTTTTAAGGCTTGAGGTTCAAGTTTTCAGGATGCAATGGGGAAATGGGCCTTTTGGGTTTAAAATGGGGTTCTGAGGGTTCTGAGGGTTCTGAGGGTTCTGAGGGTTCTGAGGGTTCTGAGGGGGGGCTCGACGGTGCCGGGTTCTTTGGGGGGCTGAGGGTTTGGGGTTGAAGGGTTCAGGGTTTAGGGCTTAGGGCCTTAATGTTTCCTCGACGTGCATAACCCTAAACCCTAAACCCTAAAACCCTGAACCATCAACCCAACCCTAAACCCAGCTGTGCCTCTGCGAGCATACGCAGGATGTCCAGACAGGCCGTGGGGATCTCGGCCGAGAAGAGCAAAGGCATGATCCAGCCTGTGCCTGCGCAACTGTTTAGGGTTTAGGGTTTCGGGTTTAGGGTTTCGGGTTTAGGGGTTCAGGGTTGAGGGTTGAGTGGTTCAGGGTTGAGGGTTGAGTGGTTCAGGGTTTAGGGTTGAGGGTTGAGGGTTTAGGGTTTGGGGCATGATCCAGCCTATGCTCGAGGAAGGGCTACTCTAGGATGGCATTTAAAACCCTCTGAAAAAGTATTCAGCTGAATGTGATCCTCTTAAACCCCAAAACAGGAAAACACATGAATGTCCCAAGGGCCTATGCAATACTTAGGGTGCACCCAGGTCCATCCACTTGGTGTATTGACCCCCCCCCCCCCTGGGGGAACGAAAATGGAAAGCAGAGACGCTGCAACTGCGTGACGATGAAGCCGGTGTGATTCACCAACTCGTGAATTCCTTCCGTACCGTACACAGACTCAACCTTTGGCGTATAAGGTGAAACCGAAAACCTGGAAAGCCCGTTGAATGTTTTGGGCTTGTCTACAGGGAGGCCCGTTGGAGAATAGAGTTTAGGGGGATTTTGGTCCTATAGGGTTCAGAATTCAAGGGGTGTGGTTGCCAAGGCTTCAGGACCTCCATCCCCACCCCCCCCCCCCCCCCCCGCTCGTCTCCGCTTACACTACAAAGTCGGGATTAGGTAGCATAACTTTTGGTGTCTCATTCCGCAGTCTTGCTCTAGGGGGCTCCTATACAACTGTCCCAAGGGCCTACCTAGGGTGTAGTTTCGGTATTTCGGGTTTGGGGAGGGGCTTGGGTGCCCTCAAACACTGCTGGCCTTGAGCTCGGAGGCATGACCAGTACTTGACAAAGTTGGCCACTTCGTTCACTGCCGACAATGGGTCCGCAAACAGCTGACCTGGAAATGCACATGTTCGGGACATTAGAGAATGACGGAGATAGATCTCGATCTGCCTGCCTCTCTTGTGCTTCTTCTTCTTCTACTTCTTCTTCTTCTTCTTCTTCTTCTTCTTCTTCTTCTGCTGCTGCCGCTGCCGCCGCCACCCCCTCCTCTTTCTTTCTTGGGGGCAAGGGGGCAAGCCCCCGGGCGTCCTCGCCCGCCCCTGTATTCAAGGCTCCTCAGGTTTGGGCAGGTAGGGAGAAGGAACTCGGCCCCCCAGTCGCCGTACCCTGCTGGGCCCCCTATCCCTTCTCCCTCTGCACGTGAACCTTCAGCCATCTGTGTTGCCCCGGCCGCCCGTCTGTTCAGAAGAGCCCCCCCGCAGCATGCCCTACCTAACCCTCCTCTCTCTCTCTCTCTCTCTTTCTGTCTTTCTGTCGGTGCCGCCACATGTCGCGAACTGGCCAAAAGCGACGACAGTTTAAACGGTATTGCAGAACTGTGGAACAGACTCAGAAACTGGAAACGATGGGTTTCTGAACACGCAGGGATGGCATACTCAGGTTGGCTGCTCTTGCGAGGGTCGTGTGATCTGGCGGTTGCAAGACATACGGTGCGGTCATTCCCGAAGACTTTCGTGGCTTGTAGAGGCAGGTTGCTATGATCAGTGTTGCCAATGATCCCTGTAAGGGCTTAGGGTATAGGGTTTAGGGTTCAGGGTTTAGGAATGTACAGAGATAACACATCTTCGGGTGTGTTGCACGGTCCTTTGGTATGGGCCCTTCAATGGGAACCCCCCTAATATACCCTGTAAACAACAAAAGCACAAGATACTTCAGAACCCTTTAATTCGAGAAGGTAAGGGGCCATATTGAAGGCCCATGAAACTACCCTTACTAGGGTGGCCCTTAAACCCTCTCAAAAATATTCCTGAATATGATCCTCTTAAACCCAAGTAAGGGAAAACAACAAATCTTGTAAGGGCCTACCGACCTTAGAGAGCAGGGCGACACAGCCAAAGGGCCCCGCAGCGCCAGCAGCGTGTAGCTGGTGTAGCCCAGTGAGAAGCAGAGCATCGCCTCCGAGCCCACCGAGGACGTCCACCTGAATCCGGGATGGTGCTCAAGGGGCCCTCTTCAGCGGTTTAGGGTTCATAGGAATGATATCGGGTTTATTTAGGGTTTATATAGGGTTTTTTTATAGGGTTTATATAGGGCTTATATAGGGTTTATATAGGGTTTAGATAGGGTTTATAGCGGGTTTATAAAGGGGGGGGTTTATATAGGGCTTATATAGGGTTTGTCGGGCTTAGAGGGTGTACTTTCATTTGCAAGCCAGCTACAAGAGCCATGAGAGAATGGAAATCCGTGGTCACCAGGAGTTGCTTAGGGTTTAGGGTTTAGGGTTTAGGGTTTAGGGTTTAGGGTTTAGGGTTTAGACCCCCCAAAACTGATAATGATCCCTGTATCCCCAGTCAATAAAAGGAAGAATAGTTTTATTTTGGAAGGCGGGGCGGCTCTTGAATTCTTAAGTAAAGGGTAGATCAGCGGGCGGGGCGACATTTGCCGCAACTGTCTCGTGTTTTGAGATGTTGCAGTCTTAATTGAAGAATAGCCTTCCAACATTCCTACGAAATCTACTACTCTAGTACTCATTGTGCCCGAAGAAACGCAACATCCATAATATAATGCTCCGCAACCTCATGCGGCATACACAAAACTACCAAGCCTAAACCCGAAAACCCAAACCCCTGAACCCCCAAAAGCCCACTAAGCTCTTGTGTCAAATCAAACGCATAGTCATCTCTCCGTATCACGAAAAAATCCTATTTACCCCGATTTAGTTCTGTATGTTCCAGAGTTCAGGGCTTCAAGGCCTAAACCCCTAAACCCTAAACCCTAAACCCTAAACCCTAAACCCTAAACCCTAAACCCAAATCCTAAAACCCTAAACTTAAGCTAAACCCTAAACCCTGGACCCTAAGCTCTAGACCCTAAACCCTAAACCCTCAACCCTAAACCCTAAACCCTAAACCCTAAACCAGGCTCAGCCGCCGGTTGCTGAGGAGCTTTCGGAGGCTGAAGGCAGAGCAGCTGAAGGCGTGAATCGCGGAGAGCAGGTAGTGCTCTGCCACCTCCGGGTTTAGGGTTTAGGGTTTAGGGTTTAGAGGGTTTAGAGGGTTTAGGGTTCAGAGGGTTTAGGGTTTAGGGTTTGGCGCTTAGGGTTTGAGGTCAGGCTGCAGGTCTTAAACACCCTACCCTTCTTAAACTCATTCTAAGGTTTTATTTGTTCGACATATTCAACTGATAAACAAAGCTCTTTCTCAACTTCTTAAACACGTTTTATAAGCTTCTTAAATGACATACAGAGACTTGAGCAGAACTGCCTTGAAACCGCTTTATAAAGGGTTCATGCTGCAGGGCAATTCAGTCTGTAGATTCCCAGTAGTGTTACAGTAGTGAAGGATTCTTTCAAAGGCGCCTCCCTCCCCCCCCCTCCCTCCCCTTGTTGCTTCAAATCAGGGGGTGCATAGAAGAATCGCTGAAAACAACGGGGGGGGGGAGGGGGGGAGTTCTTAGAGAGGGGTCAGGGCTTCAACCTTCAGGATTGGGCCTGGTTGGTTTTAGGTTTTAGGGTTGCAGGGTCCCTAAACCCTAAGCCCGAAGCCCTAAGCCCTAAGCCCTAAGCCCTGAGCCCTAAGCCCTAAGCCCTATGCCCTAAGCCCATGCCCTAAGCCCTAAGCCCGACCTGGAATCTCAAATGTCGGTCCTTTTTGGGTTGGTAAGAGGGATTCTAGTATACTACCTCAAAAATGTCCTAAGCACGAGCCTGAAGACAAACCCCAAACGGTTCGGTTCCTCATCACGAACACCGAAGAGCGGCCTTCCTCTTCATCATCGCTCTGGGAGACGTGGCCGCAGAGCGGAAGAAGGCATCGCGGAGGATGAGCCTACGAATGACAAGACGAATGACAAGGAAGTGAGCATATTTAAAAAAATGGAATTAGAATGGACATTTTATGCTGGTAATGATCAGAACACGGGCAAGCATGGTTGTCATTCATGTAGATGCGAGTGAGAGTCATGATCATGATATCATTGTCATCATACATGATAGTGAGGATAGCTTTGTTCTGGAGCTACGTAGGCGTGGAGATGAACCAATGGGACCTTGACACTGAACAACAAGGATTAAAGCGACTGGGCGTACAAATATCAGTTGGGAGAAGCAGCGCGTGTGGTCTGATGGAATGAGGCCACTGGGGCCCATGTAGCTGATTGGGTTGGGGGTGGGGGTTTAGGGTTTAGGGTTTAGGGTTTAGGGTTTAGGGTTTAGGGTTTAGGGTTTAGGGTTTAGGGTTTGGGGGTGGGAGGGGGGGAGGGGGTTTTAGGGCTTTTGGAGGTTTCTCTATTTGTTTACAGCAGTGGTGTCTAGGGCTTTCGGGTTTTAAGCTTCGGGCTGAGGATCCCTGGTGGTGCCCAACTGTACATATTTCCTGGGTTCAGGGTTCAGGGGCACCTCGTTTCGTGTGACTATATATTGTTAGTCTGAAAAGCGTCTGAGGAAGACTTGCAAGCCAAAGAAAGGAGCTACAATTGCAGGGGGTTCTAGGTTGTGCGCAGTCGAAACGCTTCCGAGTCTCCGCAGCGCGTGGAAGCTCAACGAGCTGAGAAGCGTCACCTGCTGGGGGTGGGGGGGGCTTAAGACTTCTTGTGCTTAAGGGTCGTTGGGATTGGGCGACCTAGGGCTGAACCTTCACCCTAAAACCTTGTAGCCTCATCAGGGCCTTAAAGCCTAGGAATCCTAAAACCCGTGCCGGAACGTTGCCCGGAACTGTGCTGGCAGAAGTGGTGATCAGCTGCGAGTTAAGGTTTGTTTTGAGGAAACTCTAGCTGAACCATCGGTAGCGTTCATGGGTTAATTTTAGGTTATAGACCTTGCAAGATTACAGGCTATACCTACTAGACTACGGAGACCACGTCTGAACTAAACGTTGCTAATCAAGCGAGGGGCGAATGCTGTTCCTTTCCGCGTCAGCGCATTGACGCCAGTGTCGTCCACCATGTCGGAATCAATCAGCCGAAGAATCTTGGTGATGTTGGTCTCCCTCTCCTCAGTTCCAATCCCAGTCCGAAAACCATCACCACATTACTCAAGTCAGAAGCCGGTGAAACACAAAAAAACAAACAAAACATGAAAGCACGGAGTGATGCAGCAACTGTGGGCCTGAAACCTCTAAACCTCTAAACATCTAAACCCTCTAAACCTCTAGACCTCTAAACATAAACCTCTAAACCCTGAGCCCCATGTACCCCAAATGCTCTTAGGGCCCGTGATGGCCCTTGACCCTAAACCCTAAACCCTGAACCCTAAACCCTAAACCCGAAACCCCAAACCCTAAACCCTAAGCCCTAAGCCCTAAGCCCTAAAACCTGAACCCTAAACCCTTGCTTGCCAAGGGTCCCGCTTGCTGGGTGAAACATCTTCCTCGGCCTCAGCAACCTCGGCCAGAAGCTTAGGTATCTGTCTGTTGGGGCATGGGTTGAGGCCCTTCACTGTAACCCTAAACCCTAAACCCTAAACCCTAAACCCTAAACCCTAAACCCTAAACCCTAAACCCTAAACTCTACCCTAGGTCCTAAACCCTAAACCTTGAACTCCGGGTTTCCAGAACTGCGGGATTCATGCTTCAACTGCCCAAATATCTCAAGACGCAAAGTAGACCCCCTGAGCCCATCTTTCGATCGCAATCCTGCTCAGCAACCACGTGTGTGAGTGAACGACGAACCGAATTTGTTGTAACCAGAAATATATACAAACCACGCCATGGAGCACCTTTTCCGTCAATATGCATACACACCTCGATGCCTGCGTACATAACCGTACACACACACACATGACGCATCATAGCCCTAAACCCTAAACCCTACACCCTAAACCCCAAGCATTCAATTTGGCACCCCTGCCTGGGCATCGGAGTCTTGAGCTCGCGCTTGCTCCCAGGCCGATGGCTGGTGAATGCCAGTGACCGACAGCAGGAGGCCCATGATCCGCGATGTTTTGCAGGGGCTTTGACCCTCTGAAGGCCTAGGATATGGCGCTTTAAAGCCCTCTGAAAATATTTTGTTTTCCGGAATATGGTCCTCTTAAACCCAACAAGGGAAAGATGAAATGTCCCAAGGGCCTACCGAAAGGCCCTGAAGCCTCTCAGCTAGCAACTTAAGACTCTTGCGCACCCTTGAAGCCTTGTATCTCTAGCGTCTACACCTCGAAACGCCGGCTAATGCCCTAAAACAAGATCATTAGTGCTTGAGCTGTGGACCCTCCGCATGCGTTCTATAGGGGTTTGGGGTTTACAGGGTTTAAGGGGGGGTCGGGATGTGTCGGCTTGGGGGTGATGCTCGGCATGAGCGCACTTGGAGATGCTAGGATCTATCTTGCCATATGGATGTTTCCGAAATTAGGAGGGTACTCCCGGAGTCCTAGGGGTACTTTTGAAAGGGTATTCTACTATATTTGGGGGTAAATAGGGCCCTATTTTGTAGGAAACGACCATGTGTCGTCTGTTCAGCCAGAAAGCTCACGACCCGGACAAGTAAACTGGCAAGTCGTGCAAGGCCTGCTAACGTCCCACCAGTACCTCGACGTTTGCCAATATAGCCGTCCGGGGCGTGTTCCAGTTTGGGGGGTGATTGTGGTTCATACTGGGTAAACAGTAGGGCAACTATGATCGTAGCTGGTTCTAGCCCTATCAACCCATGAACCTTCAAGTAGCCCTAAACCCTAAACCGTAAACCCTGAACCCTAAACCCTAAACCCCAAATCCTAAACCCTAAACCCTAAACCCAAATTTCTGCACTCCGGCCCCTGGCCTCCTTCTTGGCCTTTGCAGGGCCCGAGCGCGGCTTTGCAGACGCCACAGCGGCCTCTCGCACATGCGGTTTGGGGCTTAGGGGTTTAGGGCTTAGGGTTTAGGGTTTGGGGTTTAGGGTCTGAGGTTTGGGGTTCAGGGTTTGGTGTTTGGGGTTTAGGGTTCAGGGTTTGGGGTTTAGGGTTTGGGGTTTGGGGTTTATGGTTCGGGGTTAAGGCTTCAGGGCTTGGGGTTTAGGGTTTGGGGCTTAGGGTTTGGGGTTTGGGGTTTATGGTTCGGGGTTAAGGCTTTAGGGTTTGGGGTTTAGGGTTTGGGGTTTAGGGTTTGGGGTTTAGGGTTTAGGGTTTGGGGTTCAGAGTTTAGGGTTCAGGGTTTGGGGTTTAGGGTTTGGGGTTTAGGGTTTATGGTTCGGGGTTAAGGCTTTAGGGTTTGGGGTTTAGGGTTTGGGGTTTAGGGTTTGGGGTTCAGGGTTTAGGGGTGACCTCTATGCTGCAAAGCAATTCAAACCCTCAAGCCCCGAACTCCCAGGTCCCCCCAAGCGTCCATTGTGAGAGCCATCCTTCTCCAAGTACACACTTCCTAGAGCTACGTGAAGATCTCCGACAAACTAGGATTTACTCCATACGTGCATACTTTATATGAAAAACATGAAAAGCAAAGTCCCAAGGAGGCTATGGGTTGAAGGGGGAACTCTGGGAGGGAAGCCACCTTCGGGGCGGGCATGTGCTGCGCAGCCTGCGCACGGCTGGTGTTTTTGGGGTGTTTGGGCATTTGGAGGTTTAGGGCTTCTGGTGCTTGAGGTTGTGAGGTATCCAGGGGTTGCTTGCTTCGCACATCCCTGCTGATGTGTCTGGGCGCTTGAGAACTATAACAATGAGGAGTGTACCTTGGGATGTTCCCTCTTACACTAACAGTACTGAATAGGGATGATAATCGGGGTAGTGTATTCCGGATTAAGGACTGTATAAGGCAGAACATCCCAAAGTGTAGCTCATTCTGCCATTTGAGAGAGCGACCTGCGCCGCACTCGTTCAAAGAGACGCACACAAACAAGGAACCCAAAAACTCTGAACCCACCGCATCTCTTGCAAGAGCTCAAAAATTCTAAACCCTAAACCCTGAACCCGGAAGCCTGACTCCTGACAACCCTGAACCCCAACTCCCTTTTCCGGGAGGGGCGAGGGGGGTGGAGGGTCAAGAGGCAAAATTTGTGCATTTCTTCTGGGAGAGGCCCGGCCAACAGCCGATATCATCGGTTCCAAATTGCTTTTACAGCTTCGGAGGGCCAAACGCACAGCCAAGAAAAAAGGATCCAGCACATGGTCTGCCCAAAAAGTAAATCCCCTGTGTTGCAGTTCCAAAACAGGGCTGCGAGATTGCGAAAGGGATGAGAATGGATTCTAAAGTGCTTAGATTCGACGGCTAGATGGGTGTAGGACGCAGGATTCACGAAGGTGACGTAGTCCCCCCCACCCTAAACCCTAAACCCTAAACCCGAAACCCGAAACCCGAAACCCTAAACCCCAACCCCCCCCCCCCCCTCCCAAATACCGGGAGTGGCGAGTCTCCGCTTCGCTTGCCCGGCCTTTGCTCGATCTCGCCAAGCAGAGCCGAGGTCCTGTCGTCAAGCCCTGAATCCTAAACCCTAAATCCTAAACCCCAAACCCTAAACCCTAAACCACAAACCCGAAACCCCAAACCCGAAACCTCAACCCCAAAACCCTAAACGCTATACCCTAATGGGCTGTGAGTCTTATAGCCCTATACGATCCGCAGCCTTGTGGAAACCTAAGCCTTCTTCAGGGCGCGGATCAGAACCCCTTCCGTGCAGAGGAGGATGACTTTGCCTTTGTTCGGGTTTCTCAGGTTTATAGGGTTTGTTTTGTAGGGTTTATAGGGTTTTGTATTATGGGGGTTATGATTTTCAGCGGTTACAGAGCGGTTTAAAGGGTTCATAGTGCTAATAGCGGTTGCAGGGGGGTTAGAGGATTATGGGTTGGGATGTATACGAACAGTCCTTCATAGGGATTCTAGTACCCCCGATTATAATCCCGACCCCCCCCCCCCCCCCCACACAAAAGCCCCCCCCCCCCCCCCACCCCAAAAAAAAAAAAAAAACATCCCAAGCCCTAAAACCCAAGCATCCCAAACCGAATCTCCTAAAGCCCTAAAAGCCTCTGAAAACCCTGAAAGCCCTCAGAGCCCTAAATTCCCTGAAAGCCCTCAAAGCCCTAAAAACCCTGAAAGCCCTCAACTTAGTTGTCCAGTACCTAGGGTTCTTTTTTTAAGGTTAACCTTTGGGATTATAAGGGGAATATATTAACCCAAAAAGGTTAAAGGTTCCCCACTCGACTACTAAGTGAAAGCCCTGAGCCCCAAGGGTTCGTCAACTGTCTGATGCGCCTCTTCGGGGTCGCGATCAAAGAGTTTTTGGTTGATGACCTGCTCGGCTTTCCAGCTCGGGAATCTAGGGATTTAGGGATTTAGGGTTTTGGGATTTAGGGGTTTTTAGGGTTTATGGCATAAGGGGTTTAGGGATTTAGGGATTCAAGGTCTAGGGATTTAGGGGTTAGGATGGTCTAGGGCGTCGGGTTTAGAGTTTACGGTTCCTCATCAACCCTAAGGCCCCCCCGAAGGGAGCATCAAAATCCTAAAAACACCAAAGTTTCAAAACTGCAAAGCCTAAAGCCCTAAAACCCTGAGAATCCTGAAGACCTAACACACGAAAATCCTGGCTAAAAGTCCTAAAGCCCCAAGAATCCTAAACCCCAAGCCCTAGCCCCTAGAAGCCCTTTGCACTTTGGGCGCCTGCCACCCTTCGGCGTCTGTCAGGGCCGGGAACTTGTCATGATCCTTTGCGCGGCTTGCAGAGGCGGGGGGGGGGGGGGGGGGGGGGGCTTTTCTCAGTCATGGCTAGAAGTCCACACTGCCAACAACTTTGCAGATGTTGTGAGATCTGAGAGCATCATGGGTTTGAGAGAAAGATACAGAACTTCAAAGTACCAGGTCTTGAAATCAAGGGTGCTGCCGTGTTGGTGGATGTCAGGAGGTCGTTGAGCAACATCGCACTTTCAGGGGCATGTGGGTTTGGGCGCTGATAAACGCATCAAGCCTCGCATGTTGAACACATGCCTGGGCCCCTCTACTGAACTTAGCGAAGACTACAATGTTAGCTGTTTCTTAAGAATTCAAG